CTCGTCTATTGGTGCATCCACCACTCATAGGACGCGGAGCTGCTCGCCCTCGCTTGGAGGTCCCAAATTTCCCAAAGACGTGGTCTCGGAATGTCGCTGGCGGAAAGCATACCTTGCAATCCTCACTTCATCAACACGTGTCAAACGATGTTCTTCCACTTCCAACCTTGGGGCGGCGGATCATGGATGGGGCGTGCGTTTAGAATGGTCTTCCTTCTTTTGATGGCAACTTTTCGTACGTGGCCGGCTATTGGGAATGGGCGGAGGATGTGCTGGATCGATGCGAGATTCCACTAAAGAGAGGATGCATTTACGATGCGGTTTATGCTTCCTTGTTCTCCTACGACTATTCTCCGGAGATCGTCAAGGCCGTTTGCGAGGCGTGGTGTCCCAAAACCAACACCCTTTTGACTGCCGCCGGTGAAGTGTCGATCTCTCTCCGTGACTTGGCGTCCTTGGCGGGCCTCCCCATACTCGGCTCATTTTACGAAGAGGTGGTACCAAGCGCAAAGGAGCTATATGGCAGTAAAGAGGATAGGAAGCTGGTTCCCCGTTCGTGCCGATACCTGTTGCATGCCTATCACCTTCTTCGGAGTCGTGACAAAGGTCGACGTGGCGTCCGCACAACCGACTGGATTTCTTTTTGGTGCGAAAAGACCGTCAAATACGAGCGTCCTCAAATTCGTCGTGGCAAGGAGTCTACTCGTTCTTCTCGGCCTGATGCGACTTACAATCCTACCGGAGAGATTGGTGCCCACGAGCCATGGTCGAAGGCGCAGGAGTCATCTTTTGCCAAACTCAAAGTTGGACGGGAGCACCTTGAGGAGACTTTTCTCGCAGCGTTCCTTTCTTGTTGGCTTTGCATCTTTGTGCTTCCGCTCGACGATGTTGGTTTGATACGTCCTTCGACTTTCAAGATGGCAAGTGTCCTAGCGTCGGGATTTCCAGTAAGCTTGGCCATTCCAGTCTTAACCAGTATTTATAAGGGGCTAAACCAGATCGCGGATTCATCATGTCCTGGGAAAAAGTTCGGTCGACAATTCCTCTCCACTTTTTGACCGGATGGATCGCTGAGTATTTTCAGACCCACTACAGCGTATGGAAGGGAATCCGTGGTCCGGGGATGGTGAAGCACTCCGGGGCTGTTAGTGCTCGTGCGTATAGAGCAGATGTTGCATGCCGAAAGATTTTACGCGGTGACTACTTTCGTTAGGCTTGCACCATGATCACGAAAGATTTCGACGTACGGTTTGTTGATGACGGGAAGCGCGAAGACTACGAGCAAGAATACTTCATCTCCATTCGCTCTTGTTTTCTGACTTTGCGGGATGGATTTCGATGCTTCGTGGAGCCGTATAGTCCCCACCGTTTTTGCCGTCAATTTGGTTTTTTCCAAGAGATTCCCGTAGTTCTTTTGAAAGACGTCCGTTGCTGCGCTTTTGAGGAAGGCTATCAACATTGGCACCAAAGTACTTACTTGAAATCTTCAGCCGAAGTTATTCTTCCACGCATTCCTGCGATTCTGTGTACTACGTGCTAGGTTGTTGAGTGATCAATCTAGGTGTATGTTAGGACTTGTGTGTTCTATGTGCGATATATTTTTCCTGCATAATGTTTGTTCGTAGATGCAGCGAGGGACAAAAGCCGATGATGAAATCCATTGGTGCTAGTGCACGCATGTCGCACAGCTGCAAAATAAAGTATCAGTTCCTACGCCACAAAAAATTTACAAAATGCAGTAGCTCAATGAGTAGGGTCGTCTCCGCAGGAAACAATAATAATATTAAATATTCGGTTATTTATAATTATACTATATATATAATGGGGGGAGGGTTTTATCACACTAAATAATGAGAAAATAAATTTACTCAACTAAATAAAATAAAATAAAATTCAAGGCAAATTACCAAAGATGATTAGACTCTAGCAAGGTATGAATTTTCTGTTCGGGATATAAATTTTGTTTATCGACTAAAAATCAAGTTCATTGGCTAGTTGGATAAATTGGTTATAGTTTATCTACACGCGTTCACAACCAACCTTTCCTAACTTTGTCGATAGCTAAGGTACAACCATTAGCTATTTTCCTAATCGAGTGAGAATCCTAGGTACGACCATAGTTTTAGTGACTCGACAGCTTTAAGTACTAGAAAGGCCCAATTCAATTTAACAAAATTTCTACGCGGATTTGTTTAAAATTGATTCTAATTCTTCCCTAGAGTATTTCTCTACGCCGCTACACCAATTGGAAAATTACACAATTACGGGTGCCAATCTCCAATTTAGCTATGAAATCTCAAATCAATACGTGCGCAATAATCAATTTAAGATTTCTAAATGTATAAATTACAAAAATTAAAAATACCCAATATCGATGAACACCAAATTAAACAAAATTAAGTCTCACAAATTCAATTCCGAACATAAATTCACACCTACGCTAGAAAGAAAATTACTTGAAATTCATAGGAATTGAAAACGCAGAACAAATAAAGAAGTTCATCATGCCTTCAATTTCGAAATCGACAAAGAAGAACAATATGAAGATAGAAAAAGAACGCCTTGAAAAGTTGTCTGCAATCCTCTTCCAAGTTCTCCTCCTTTCGTCGTGTCCTTCTTTCTTTTCCTTCAAATAATATGGTGTCGTGGTAAAGAACGTGGTAGTCCCCTTCTCTTCTCCTCTTCAATTGAAAAAAAATCGTGTCTCATCAAATCCATCCCAAGATCCCCGTTTAAATAGATCCCTTTTGCACTTCAATCATCACATACTTTTTATATTGTTAATTTACCCCGGAGGGCCATTTTGCGAATTCCATATTTCTCATATTGTGTTGCGTGATCATGCCAAAAGCATTCGTGCATTCTGCTCATTGTCTCCTAAATACACTCCAAAACATGTCAACTCCATGAAACCTATTACGCAATCAAAAACACACCATGAGTTGCATATATACGGAATTTCGTATCTCAAAAGTCGCCCAAAACATAATAAAATATCATTATATACAACAAATATCAATTCCCCCACACCTATTCCATGCTTGTCCTCAAGCATATGTCCAAACCAAGAATTGAAATACTCACTAGCGCAAAAGTCACTTAGTCGTGTTATCAATTACGTCAGATTCAAAGCATGCAAGAACCAACTAACCTCACAAAATGTGGAATGTATACAACGTAAAGCTCTCACCCTCATGTGTTTAGGGTATATTCACTCAATGCACATGAAGTAAACGACGAACCCCACAGGCTTGCAAGCAAATCAAATCAACTCCACAATTCCTCAAGAAATTAACGTTCATAATCAAAGGTCTTAATTAAAGGTTATAATGGGGTCATGGTTGGGATAGGAAAAAGGATATTAACAGCTAATGGGACCGAAGAATTAATCTATCAATTCATCACATCACAATGAGCACAAATCGCATACATGAATGAACAAAAATCAAACAACATTGCACTAACGATGATCAATGCAAAACAAGAACATACTTTCTTTCTTTTACATGAGTCTTTTTTTTTTATTATTTTAAGGACTCGTAATATTTCTTTTTTCTTTCAGCCCCTTTTTTTATTATTATTATTATTATTTAAGGAGCTAGATAATGAGATATTTTTGGCAAAAATATATGTGAATTTATAACCATGCCACAATATGAATACTTTCAAGTACAACTTCGGAATAGTATCGTATAATGAATGCAACTCTAAATAATCTAATGTAATGAATCAAAGAACAATCCCTCAAGTTCCCATGAGTTCAAGTAGGCGTTTGGCTTAGTCCAATAAAAGGGCTTATTGGCTCGGGGTTAAATAGAAACCAAGAAAAATAAGATAATACATTTAAGCTCAAACTTGGTTCACTAGGGGATAATATTGGTAAAGAGATGAAATTAAGGCCAACATGGGTAATCCTAGTGCCTTATCATTTTAATCCCATCAATTCTCAATAAACGCGGAGTCAATAAGCATAAGTAAGCAAGTTCTAGGTAGTCAAATATAACATATGTTTACACAATCCAAAAAAAAAATTGAGCATATATGATATGTATGAGTGAATTTGCTCAAATAAGGCTCAAATAACTCACTTAAGGGTTCTTTTTCAGAAGGCTAAGCACACTCGTCATCTAACTTCATCAACAAACACGGCAAGATCCTAATGAACTAAGTAAGCACAACAACCTCGGCTCAAAATACACAAGAAGACATGCAGGGAAGTCATCAAAATAAAGCATTATATCGCATCAAAAATTCTAATCTCCCCCCAACCCACACCTAATTAGTGCAATGTCCCTATTGCAAGAACAAAGATGAAATAAAAGAAAGGAGAAAAGAAACTTCCCTGGAATAGGTGGGGGCAACCGGCCCGCTTAGGATCGGCAACGGGCGCGCAAAAGCTTTTCAATGGAGTCTAACTATCCTTGTAGAGCCGCTTGTCCAGCTATAATCGCATCAAGCTTGCCACGAAGGTCATTATTATTCTCCTTCAGTATTTTAACATCAGATGCCAACGCCTGTAAAGTAGAGCCAGTGGCGGATCGCGCAGGAGCACCATCCTCAGTAGAAGCATCAATAGGGGGTTCCTCTCGGTCATCATCAAACTGGACTACATCGCGATGGGACGGCCGACGCCACTGATTAACAAGACGATATCCAGTATCATCTTTCACTACCATACCCATGCGGAACAATACCACCATATCCAAGTACTCTATTGGTCCTACTTGATGGAGGCGCCTCCTAGAAATAACATAAGCATCAATACTAGGGAGAACACCCAAACTAATAGCAAGAGTAGTTATAAACGAGGCACCAATCAAATCTCTTTTTTTCTTAAAAACTTCACTAAACTGCACAACCAACCAGTACCCAAGATTAACCCTAATGCCACTAGTCATGCACCATAGAAAGGAAAATTAGCTTTAGTAACAATACTGGAGGTACCCCTACGCCCGGATATAAATGAAGCAATGAAACGCTAAATATAACGAAGGGCGGGGTCCTTCAATCTACGAGCAGGCATATTATTGTCAAAACAAACTTTTCAATCCACAGAAAATTCACTCCGTAATTTCTCGACTGAAACAGAAAAGGGCTCAATAAACGCACATGCATCGGTATTGAAAGAATCATCCTCAAGCTCCTCGGAAGTCACAAAACCTAAATGTAAATTAAATTCTGCTAAACAAAGCTTAAACTCTTTACCAAGCAAAGAGAATCTAATTACATCAGGTTGCATTACATCAAATTGTTTAGGCAAGTCAAACATAAATGTAGAGAAGAACTCGAGGGCAAGTTCAATGAAACCAGGTTGTTGATAAGTAAATAAACAACTCCAACCAATGCTAGATATGTAATCAAGAACAACATCTTTAATGCGTAACTTCTCAAGTGTTTCAACGTGAATGTACTTACCCGAGAAAATGCTCTTAGTGCACAAAAGTTCGTACCTTGTATGTTCCTTGGGTGTGAAAGAATGTAAATGGCCCCCAACTTGAGTTGGAGGCAACACTTGAACTGAGTTACCTTTTTGTGCCCGTACATTGGTGGATACAGAAGTAGGAAAATCGACTGGAATTGTGGTCATTGTATTACCCGTATCTCTACCCCGCAACTAAGAAGATGTCCGTTCCCTCAATGCTTGTTCTTTTGCATCCTTTCGTCTTTGAAATAGTTGACAACCTCGTAGCTATTGGAACCCTTGCGGGAACCGAATCCGATGCCCGCACTTTAGTCATAATGCCTGCACGCCAGAAAATTCAACAACTAAATAGCAAGTCCTCAATTAACCCCAACACCAAGAACAATTTCACAACAAACATTTAAATATTATTCGACAATATCAATCACCCAATAATCTCTCCCAATAATCTATATGCATCCATTTATCGGTTGCATCAAAGAACCTCTACGAAAATCGCCGAAATTAAAATTCTTCATCATCAACTTATTTTGTATAATATCTAGGCAATAATCGATAGAGGTTTCTCAAGAGAATGCAATATAGATCAAGAGTAAATGACTTCCCTGAAATTTCCATTGGTGACTCGCAGCTGATGGTCAGTGGCAGCGCAGAACAGCAGCAGTTGGAGATCGGGAGCAGCGCGCGGCGGAGGATGCGGTTTGAACCGGGCTGATGATGGTTTGGCGGCTTCAGCGCGCCGGCTTGGCGGAGGAGGCGCGCAGGAGGCGGTGGCTGCTGCTACTGGCGGACGGGGAACTTCTATTTGCGGCGGGATGCACGAACCGGCTGGGCTGCGGCGGCTAGCAGAGGCACAATCGTTCAAACCGGCCTGTGGAGAGAGCGGGAGAGAAGAGCGCATCGGACAGCTGTGAGAGAGAGACAAAAATAATTAGCTTTTAAAGGGTGTAATAATAATAATAATAATAATAATAATAATAATAAATATAGCAATAATAATATAATTGTAATAATAAATATAGTAATAAATATGAAAATAAAAAATTAGAATTTAATTACTATAATAATTATAATTATAGAAACAATAATAAATATAGTAATAATAAATATAATAATTATAGTAATAAATATCATAATAATTATAATTATAGACGTAGTAATAAATATAATAATAAGATTAAGTATAGTAACTATAATAATAATAAATATAGCAACAAAAAATATATATATATAACAAAAAAAATTAATAGCTATAATAATATTTATTATAGAAATAATAATAAATACAGTAATATTAAATTTAATAAATATAATAATTCCCCAAAATAAATCCTCTTTTCGCACAATTTTTCAGAATGTAAAATTTCATTAAGCGTGATCATGCCCAAAAAAGTTTTACGTTCTAATTTCTTTAAAAATTTCTCCCTCTCATCAATCACAACACACTGGATGCATGGCCACGCCTAAGAACTTTGTCCATTGCTCATCCAACCATAAATTTGTTACCTGCAATAAAGCACCAAAATCAAGGCATGAGACTGACTCACAAACACAACAAAAACTCAAAACACACAAAATAAAATTAAAACACTTGGGTTGCCTCCCAAGAAGTGCCTTTGTTTATTGTCGTTGGCTCGACACAACATCTCTTAAGCTAATCAAGCGGTTCAAAGAGAGCTACGCACTCCACTTCTTTGCTCTGGAACCCCTCATAGTAAAGTTTAAGACGATGTCCATTCACAACAAACCTCTTTTCAGTGCTTAGACTTTGAATCTCAACTGCACCATACGGAAACACGTTAGTAATAAAAAACGGACCTATCCAACGAGAACGAAGCTTACCCGGAAAGAGCTTAAGACGACAATAATAAAGCAGAACCTTTTGACCAACCTTAAAATCCTTCCTCAAAATATTTTGATCATGAAATTTCTTACTCTTTTCTTTATAAATCACAGCATTCTCGTAAGCTTTATTTCGCATCTTCTCCAACTCTTGCAACTGTAATTTCCTATATTCTCCAGCTTCACTCAAATTCATGTTACACTGTTTAATAGCCCAAAAAGCTCTATGTTCAAGTTCAACGGGTAAATAGCAAGGCTTACCAAAGACTAACCTGTAGGGCGACGTCCTGAGCGGAGTTTTATATGCAGTTCTGTATGCCCATAACGCATCCTCTAAGCGTAAACTCCAATCCTTCCTATCCGGCCTCACCATTTTCTCTAGAATTCTCTTTTATCTCCCGATTAGAAACCTTTGCTTGTTCGTTTGTTTGCGGATGATATGATGTTGAGACCCTATGAAGAACTCCATACCTGCGAAACAACGCTGAAATGGTTTTGTTGCAAAAGTGTGTGCCCCGATCACTTACAATTAATTGACTTAGGCATTCCAAAGCGAGTGAAAATCAAGGACTTTAGGAAATCTGCAACAACCTTAGCATCGTTAGTTCGGGTGGCCTTTGCTTCCACCCACTTCGACACATAATCAACAACAAGTATGATATACAGAAAACCATGTGTAAGTGGAATTGGACCCATAAAATCCATACCCTACACATCGAATACCTCAACAAACAACATCGGGGTTAGGGGCATTTGATTTCTAGCAGAAATATTGCCTACTCTTTGACATTTATCACATGCTTTTCAAAATTCATAAGCATCCTTAAATAATGTAGGCCAATAAAATCCACTATCGAGTACCTTTCTTGCAGTCTGTTGAGAGCCAAAATGACCTCCACATTCTAGTGAATGACAAAACTTCAGAATGGATTCACACTCACTTTCTTCGACACATCGTCGAATGACTTGGTCTGCACATCATTTCCACAAGTAGGGGTCATCTTAAACATAGTATTTTGCATCAATTTTCAGCTTATCCTTCTTTGCTTTTGTCCATCCTGCAGGGAATTTATTAGTGGCCAAATAGTTCACTAAATCAGCATACCAAGGAGAAGAATAAGAAATCGCAAGTAATTGCTCATCCGGAAAATACTCCCTCAAATGTAGTTCATCATGAACCATAGGAAGACGACTTAAATGGTCAGCTACCAAATTTTCACTTCCCTTTTTATCTCGAATCTCCATATCAAATTCTTGTAGAAGTAATATCCATCGTATAAGCCTTGGCTTGCTTTCCTTTTTCGCCATTAGATACCTCAAAGCTGCATAGTCAGAAAATACAATTACTTTAGTACCCAGCAAGTAAGATCTAAATTTTTCTAAAGCGAAAACAACGGCTAAGAGTTCTTTTTCAGTAGTGGAGTAGTTCAATTGGGCTCCATTGAGTGCTTTTGATGCATAGTAGATTGCCCATGGAATCTTTCCACTTCTCTATCCAAGTACAGCCCCCACTGCCGTGTCGCTTGCATCACACATAATCTTAAAAGGTAAATCCCAATTCGGTGGTTGAATGATGGGCGGTAATGTCAACAACTCTTTAATCTTGTCAAATGCCTTCGTACACTCTTCATCAAACTCAAATTGAACATCCTTTTGTAACAATCAGAAAAGAGGAGCAGCCACCTTTGAGAAATTTTTAATGAACCGACAATAAAATCCTACATGCCCTAAAAATAACGCAAATCCCTCACCGAAGTGGGATAGGGTAAAGCAGAGATAATATCAATCTTGGCTTTATCTACCTCTTTTTCCTTTTGATGAAACTAAATCTCCAAGAACTAACTCTTCTACCATAAATTGACATTTTTCCCAATTCAAAACTAACTTTGTCTCTCGACACCTTCTCAAGATCACAACCAAAATTATCTAAACAAGTATCAAAATAATTTCCATATACACTGAAATCATCCATGAAAACCTCAATAATCTTTCCTACATATTCAGAAAATATGCTTACCATACACCGCTGAAATGTCGCAGGGGCATTGCACAAGCCAAATGGCATCCGCCTATAAGCAAAAGTGCCAATGGGACAAGTGAATGTCGTCTTTTCTTGATCCTCCAGTGAAATCGCAATTTGGAAATAACCTGAAAAACTATCTAGAAAGCAATAATGACATCTTCCTGCTAGTCTCTCAACCATTTGATGAATGAAAGGTAATGAAAAATGATCTTTCTTTGTGACTGAATTTAGCTTACGGCAGTAGATGGATTGACGCCAACCGGTTTGTTTCCGAACCGGGATCAACTTACCATCGTGGTCAACCTCAACGGTGACTCCCGCCTTCTTGGGGACAACATGAATTGGACTTACCTATTGACTATCCGAAATTGGATAGATGATATCGGCATCCAAAAGCTTCAAGATCTCTTTCTTTACGACTTCCATCATAGCAGAATTCAACCTCCTTTGAGCTTACCTTATTGGCTTGGCATTTTCCTCAAGCACAATCTTATGGGTGCAAAGAAATGGGCTAATCCTCTTTATATCAGCTAACGTCCACCCAATGGCTTCTTTGTGCTCTCTCAAAATTCGGATCAACTTCTCCTCTTGACTAGGAGACAGTGCAGCAGATATGATCACCGGTAATGTCTCTCCAACTCCTAGGAAAACATACTTCAAGTTCGAGGGCAACCTCCAATTCATCCTTTCCACTCAAGTCAAAGACTTCCTGCACATTGAGTAAGAACATCTACACAACACAAAGTATTAGGCTCCACAGGATATCCCATTGCATAAAAAATATTAAAATGATCCTTTACACCTTCGAACTCCATGGTCAGTGTCCCTATTTTAACATCTATCTTTGATTGTGCGGTGCGCATAAAAGGTTGTCCAAGCATAATAGACGAAGGATTAGGCGAATTACCATCATGCATATCTAAAATATAGAAATCAATCGGGAATATTAACTCGTTCACTTGCACAAGAACATCCTCAATTATTCCTTCAGGGTAACCGTTAGTTCTATCAGCTAGTCCCGGCGAGTGATTCCGGTGAGTGAGAAGCCCCGATTCCGGTGGGTGTCGAGGTTTAGAGTGATGAGCCGACCTCCACCTTGAGGTGTGGTTACCTCGGGCCGTTCTCGCACCTTGGTCTGAGCCTTCCGTCGATGTTCCTCTCGGTGATGAAAGATCGGAGAAAGAATCGAGAAGCCAGGTTCTGTTTGGTGGCAACGGAGGTGTGCTGCTATTGACGGAGGAGTCGTCGCGGGAGTTCTCCGCGGGTCTGCCGTCTGTCTGCCGGAGAAGAAAAGAGGAGATCGTCGGAAACCAAAACAAAAGAGGAGTTAAAATTTATTTAACCATATACATTATACAACCTTCGAGTAAAAAAATTTACAAAATTACTTTAATTAATATTAACTCAAAATCCAAACCAAACAAACAAACAAATAAATTACTTTTAATCAATATGCAATCGGTAAACAAACGCAGTAAAGTTTGAAAAGATAAAATCCAAATAAACACTCTAGAACGTGGGACGCCGTTGCTGCAGTCTATTGAATTCCCAAAATGCCCCTTTTACTATTTGACAATTACATCCCTCTTTTAAAGTACAAGAGAAAAATAACAGTTGAGTACCAGTTGAGTCATACCAATCCTTTCACTCACTCCCTTCTGCACTTCTTTTTGGACTTCCACTTCCAAACGAACGGGGAAGGCGCAACCTGCTTCCGATCGACGCCGAGGTCCCCATTCTTGCAGTTCTGATTCTGAGGAAAGAAACGATTGGAAGAATTTGGCTCCAATTTTTCGATTATTAGTGTTTAATTTATTCATTTACTAGAAAATGCCAATCAATTACGAATCGGCGACGCCGCCGCCGCGGATTGGGAAGATCGGGCCGTACACCGTATTTTTTACGCCACCGGCGACGCCAAATTCCGGCCGAGGACCAGAATCTCCCGGTGTAATTTCTCCGGTTCAAGTTCCGGTCGAGAAACCCTCCCCTCCCCCGGTGATGGCTCCGCCTGCGCAGTTCTTCAAAGAAAAGCCTCCATCACTTGGTTTCTTCAGGGACACGGTGGCCAAAATTCAAAATGGTATCTTCTCCATTGATTTGCTTAGCGTTTTCACTTGTGCGAATTTGGGCAACATGATTTGTATATCTAGTAAGGTAATTCTGTGAATTATGTCTAATTATGTTATTCGCCTGAATTGATCTTGTTCAGCGCATGCGAGTTTGGATGAGCATGTAGCTCGTTGGTTTGGTTTGGATCAATCCAAGTACCAGTGGGCATTGAACGATTACTATGAATGCAACGAGAAGGTAACTCGTTAATAATATAATATGCCTATTTAATACCTGTATGCATTTGCCTGACACCATGTTTAGGATGTTTATGCTTTGATTCCTGAGTGTGGTTTACTTCTGAAAGAGAAAGCTTTAGGAGACTTGTGCTAGTTGGAGATTCAAAACTTGAGATTCTAGCCCTGTCTCTTGCTGAGGTTTAATGGAATAACTTAATCAGCATTTGATAGGGAAAAACTAATAGTTAAGTGGTTGAGGGCTATATGTGGAAAAAGAGCCATAAGATTATAATTTTCATCTCAATTTAAGGGATTACTTTATCTCCCTTGTTTTATGGGATACATTTAGTTTTATAAGTTAGTGTATTAATCGTATACTTATATAGATACACTTCTGGTAGAGTGCTCATTAGCCTTACTCAGTAGATAAAAGAGAGAGAAGTGCATGCTTTCAACTATAGATGTGGATGAACATATCTCATGTGCGATGTGTAGACTATTGTTATGTGTTAGTTTATTTTCTATATTCTTATCAAATCAATTAATATAAAATATGGGCTGCTGTCTTATGATGCACAGTTAAGATTCAGCACTGAAACAGTCGCCGTATAAATAATTTGTGACACTAACATGTAAGCATGTGATTAGGAATGACAAATTAATCTGCCCTAATAACTTCTAGTAAACACACCTTTGGATTCATACACGTCTTGGCGATGGAGCAGGAAAGAAGGAAAAGAAAATAAATACTTATATGGGTAGAATCACTTGTTAGAAGCCTAACTACCATAGATGATGACAATGCTCGCGAGACAACTCTCTCTAAGGAACTCGGCAAAATAGCCCCGTAACTTCGGGAATCACATGTCTCACATTTCATTCTAGTATCGAATATGAAATAAATAATGTCTCATCAAAAGAAATAAACAAACAGGGATTGAATGTGCCCCTCTACCATATCTGTACAAATAGAATAGTACATTTCTACAGAATGGTAAAGGGGTACTTTATGATCATCGACTGTCTATCTCCAATAATTAATTCTCGCTGACCACGCCCTAGGACGGCGGTTTTGGTGCTGACTGGGTTCAAATCAGCAGCACTCAAACCGAAACTCACTGCCTAGATATTGTGAGATCATCTGAAGATTGAGAAAGTATTGCAATTTTGAATTGGAATTTGACCGTTCACAAAATTGAGAAAAGATTACATATTAGGTAATGTTGCTTCTATAAAAGCATATACGGGCCCTTCCCTTTTGTCTATCATTTCTTTAAGCATTCTTTGCAACAAAATTCAACTGTGGAAAGACTTTTTAGTTTAACCATTTGAATATCGAACTGTTTTAAAAAGTTCATTGCTTTGGTCAAATATCTTTTGCTAGTTATCTGTGGTTGATTTGCTGCCCTCTTAAGGGTTTTAATCAGCAAGTTCTTGTTGAGTTTATGTTCCATGCTTCCTTGGGGAAATTAAGATGTATTTTGGAATTGTTTTAAGTTTTTTGTAGAGATTTGGAAATAATAAAAAAATTGAACAAAAAATATATATTTGATGTGATGTAAATAAATGATATATGTAATGTTTTGTATAAAAATGTATATTTTTTAATGTAATTTATGATATAATTTGGAGAAATTTTTTGATGTATAATGCCAAAACATCAGTAAACATGCTACATTTAATAGTTGTTAAATGAATAGCCTAAGTGAAGTTTATGTGTTATATTCAAGCCTAAGTTCCTTTCTTGGCCTGATTGTAGAATCCGGAAGCAAAACCACAAATCACACCCGGTAGAGTGCCGAATGTATGAAAATGGTAAGAAACTCTCACAAGGTTTCTTTGATTTTATTCCAAGAGCATTTTGTTTCTTAAAAATGTGAATAACAACAATGGATACTGTCTCTGGACACATTTCTTCAGGTACTTAGTTCCTAAATCTGGAATACCAAACAACAGTTTCAAGTGGCTGATGTTTATGCATGGAAACTTCACCCTATTAATGCCCTGTAATATTATGTGATTTTATTGCCTATATTAGATGCTTACAGACTTTCAAACTATTCGAATAACCTAAATGCCTACTCCAAATCCAATGACAAGTTAAATTCCATTTACATACATTGTCAACCTATTTGCAGTTTAAATATAAGCATGAATATAATATAACTTCCTTGACCAGAGAAGAAAACTACAGCAGCAAGTCAATACTGTCTTACACGAAAGCAGTCTTGCAGCTAACAAATTTCAGATTCACATACAATACTTCAATATACTGGAAAGAAAATGGATACAATATGAAGAATATAGATATAAGATATGAGCAAAGATGCAGTCGAAACACGATGCAGGCAACTGTATATATACACATACCTATGTACATTGATCAGTCCATCTTTAGACAGGAGGTATGTTGGAAAAGGAGAAACCTTTATAGCCTTTATAAGCATAGTACGCAATACGAGTGTAATAGAATCCCGGAAGGAACAAAATTCCACCCAGTAATGCAAAAAAAATCCCTGCAATACAGCCATGCTTTCACATAAGACGCAGGATAGAAGGAAAGTAATCAGATTATCTATTCAAGTGACAAACATGAATAAGTGTCGGTAATAAATTGCGATACTAAGTGAATACAATAAATTTAACAGGAAAGCTCTCGTAAGCCTTATGGTCTTCATAAAACTAGAAAAGAACCTGACTTACGGATGGAAATGGAATAAATTGGAAAGATAATAGAATAATGAGAAGCGTCAACTGGCTGATGGCATAAATAGAAACCGTATAAGAAACAATATAGCCACAACGATACATTCTACGAGTCAGAGCTGCTCGGTAAGTGTTATACTCAAGGTTTTACGACACGAGCAACACTTAAAAGTCTACAAACACAATATTGGCAAAGCAGGACAGAAAGAAAAATGGAAGTTCACAAAGCTGCATTGTCTTAATCCGACTCTACTGATGCACTGCATCTATGTAAAGTCTCCGAGTATACATGATTCACAATCCAAAGAATTATGCATATGGAAACATCTTTAACTTCTCCTCTATAGCTATTACAGTAACTCCATACATAAATCGATTATTGACATGCATAGATAATCCTCGGCACGAGCTATCAGAAGTCGATATCAAATGACCATATAGAAATAAACCTTCTCCTTTTATTACCGTGAAAGTCTCTACAATTACAGCATACTCTTGTGACGTGTGACGTGCAAGTCTTGAGGTAAAAACTATTGTCGTGAAGATTGAGCATGCCCTCACTATCCATCCATTTACATTAAATCAATATGGCCTTTTTCAAAAAAGTCTTTTGGGAATATTTTTGCTACATACAAAACGATGAGAATATCTTCTGTTGAATCACACCGGAACACATCTAGAGAATGGGGTTTAGTTGGAAACATACAATTCTAAGAATATACTAAATCGCTAATTTATAGATCAAACATCTTACTTGCAAAGATTAATATTATGATTCTTCTGATTTTTGAAGAGTCATAATTTGTATTAATAAAGAAGCTATAAAAATGCTTACCACACCTAATTCACATAAAAAATCTCAAAAAGAGTTTGCATGCAAATTGATTGTCAGACAAAATACTTCAATCATAATCTATTATAATTCTAAGTATTTGTGGAGCAAATTTGCCTAAAAGTTCTATAGTAAAATGACGAAAAAGTAAAACGTCCAAGCAAGATTTAGACAATTTTCTATCTTTCCCTCGACCCTATAAGTTAACTCGACTGCACTACAAATTGCGTAGTTGTGTCAAAAACCATTTGCCAAAACAATCTCGTATAAGCACATAGAGAAAGACTCCAACCGCTTCAGCTTTACCTTGCAAAATCAATGCTTAGTGGAATATCAAAGCTACAACCAATATTCTACAGCGTGTAGGTTAATATAGTCCACGCCCGTATTGCCATGCCACGGCTGAGACACACCGGGCTTGTAGGTCTAACATCATCCTATACTCTAAAAATGACAAAGAAAGGTCTGAAATTCCAAACGATACAACTTCAATCCGAAAGACTAAACTTGAGGATTCTAAAACAGAACATAATGCAGAGAAGCTCCACTCTTACCAACTATCATACCAAAATGAAATATTGGTATACCATAAACCACCTTCCAGTTAACAATTGATTTTTTAACTTCCTCAACAACATGACCCATTCTTTGGTGCCTCAAAACATCATATATTCTTAGCTTTAAGTTTCAGTTATATCCCGACGAAAACAGGAATATAGGTAATCGATAAACTAAGAATTTAAATTGTTCAAGTACCACCATTTCTAGTATGCTAATTCTTATCAAACTTCCATACTTGTGTCTCCCTGATTAACAATTCACTAATTCACTGCTTTGTTATCCCGTAAGAGATCACAGATCGATACATTGAAGCTTATTATAAACTACTAAGAAGGCTGAAAATTCCGATCAATAAGTTAAAAAAGGAACACCTACTTAACTATGACCAATTCGACCTTGTGTTCTTGTTTTAGTTTCTAAAACCTCTCTTCTCTACTCTTACCCCAGTGAATATATAATCAAAATCTCCATAGATTAATGGCCTTTAACTACTATTAACAATTGGCTTTTCCTTTTGGAACCCTAACACAGTGATAAAGCGCAAAATGAACTATTGAATGCTATAGAGCAGCTCGAAATCCATTCCTAACCAAACCCTAGGCAGAAATAGTGGAGGCACAAACGAAGTGGAGGACAAAAACGGAAATATGAATAAAACCAAGCACCGTGAGCGCGATCGCCGCCGACTTCATTGACGGCCATTAAGACACCGATGACGATTCCGAGAGTGCCAAAGACGAGGAGAGCTACGGCGAGGGCGATCTCCTTGATAGGAGGCTTGTTGTTGACAGTGTAGGAGGTTCCCATCATTATATCATCGTCGGATATGGAGAAGGCGTGATCGACGTACGCCATTGCTGCTGCCTTCTAATCTAACAGCTTAGTACTCGGTGGACTATTCGTCTTGATTGATTATATATAGAAAGAGAGCGATTGGATTGGAGAAAGGGAGGGAAGAGCGGTGGTGGTATTATGGGGAAGAAAGAAGAAGGGGAGATGGAGATGGGGTGGAGGTGTTAAATGGTGAATTTTCTTTGGTGTGGTCTCTCTCTCCGCTGACCTGTATGAACACCGAACCAACAATAGCACTGACCCTTCCACTATTACCACCGGCACTTTTTATCATGTAACCATATAAACTAATAAGGTACATTTCTTGGGTATGTTTATTTTGTTGAGACTTGTGAACTTAACACAAATATGATATTTTTCGCTTTGGGCTGAGTCCGCACGAATGTGTTTTTGGATATCCTCCAAAAGGTCTCATACTAGCGGAGGACTTATAAGACCTTCCCTGCCCACCTTGTACCGCCTATCACAAAGGGACTCGCTGCTTGACCACCTTAATCGGGACCGACCCAACACCGTCAGGAGACTTTCGACACAAGGCACATCTGCAGGTTACGAGGGTGAGCCCACCACCACAACCAATGCCACCCAGTCTACTTCACCATCTAATCGGGCTCAGATACCAAATGTTAGAAAATAAACATATAATCAAATATGTTAGCGGAAGCGAGATTTAAACAAACCTCCAGCCATTGCTAAAAATTAGATTTGTCCTTGAGATCTTCTTCAAGAACAGTAGATTGGAACCGTGGGAAGATTGTGTTGTCAGACTTTGGAACCATTGGGAGGATGTTGCTAAACTTTGGAAACCTCCGAAGATAGTGCCAGATCGTGGAACCCTAGGACGATGTTGCCAAACCCTGGCTCTCAAATAACGATGGTGTATTCTAATTTTCTAATAGTATGTTTAGTAACCCATATGTGAGAGTATTTATAATAAAAAAGAGAAACCGTCCATCACGATTTTTCTGCCACTTCTCACGTATATTTTGAATGTGATAGACTATATGGGAGAAAAGTGGGCCACAATTTAAGGTTAATTTAATTATATAAGATAATTAAAAAATAATCAAAATTCAAATATGATTAATTAATTAATTAAACTAACATTCTCCCACTTGGCCCACTCAAACCATCACAACATAACGAGAAACCTTACATACGAATCATGGCGTTAGGTCTTCTATAAACGAATGTTACCTTCCATGTATTACGATATGTCAAGCATCTCAAACTAAATTCACAATCTTAATGAATAAATCATATATTTATTCCGGGTTAAACATAAGCGAGTTTTCTCAATAATAAACAAATATATGCACAATAAAGCGAGAAAACATCAAACTGAATAAGAGTCTCAAATAACAATGTGCGCAAATAAACTACATTGTAGAATCAAGTCCCATACTTGCTACGTGATCCCTCAAATTCTTTAGTGGCATGCCTTTAGTCAAGGGATCACAAGCATCAACTCTGTATTAACGTGTTCAATGACCACTTTATTTTCCTTGATATTTGATGTCGATGTGTTTACTTCGATTCCCACTTTTATTGCTTTTAGCCATAAACACCGCAGTAGAGTTGTCACAGTACAACTTGATCGGTCTAGAAATAAAGTCAAAGACTCTAAGCTCGGATATGAAACTCTTCAACCATACACCATGCAAGCTAGTCTCGAAACATGAAACAAACTCAGCCTCCATAGTGGAAGTAGCAGTGATAGACTGCTTCGCACTTCTTCAAGAGATAGCTCCACCAGCCAACATGAACACATAACCCGATGTGGATTTCCGAGTGTCAATGCAGCCAACGTAGTCCGAATCGGAGTAGCCAATCACTTCCAGGACATCAATTTGTCTATATGTGAGCATAAAATCCTTCGTACCTTAAAGGTACCTCATATAACATCCCTTTATCATTAGTTGCAAGCAAAATATCATCCACGTACAACTCAAAGAAGCAAATACGACTCCCACTAACCTTCTGGTATATATAGTGATCTATGACGTTTTCTTCAAAACCGAATGAAGAGATAACATCATGAAATTTCAAATACCATTGGGGAGGCTTGCTTCAATCCATATATGGATTTATTAAGCTTACAGACTAAATTTTCTCACATTCCTCCATCAATAATTTTTCATCCTCTTGAACACACATAGTCATCAATTTATTGATGGACCATTTATTTTTATGTGTATTGTAGGATAATGTCCCGCATCCGCATTATGTGCTCGCGCACACTCCTCACATCCGTGAATCTCATGGTGGAGAATTGAATGACTGGCATAATCAATGTCCATCCAACCTAAATGAAGGAGGATCCATTCTTCCAGATTTTGTAATTATCACCAGTCAATTCGGAGACATCACACTTAATGTCAGAGAAATTGATAGGATTAAACGCTCCAAAATTAAATATGCATGCTCATCAATAAACGAGACAAGTAAATTACATGTTCTACCAATGTAAACATGTTAAAACATGAATCTAGAGACATAAAACTTGTTTGTGGGCTAAAGTTTTACTCAATTAGGTTCAAACAAAAACTTAACAATAAAACTATCAAATTGTGTTCCTTTTCTTAACTCATGTGGATAGATTAAGAAATACAACTCGATATTTTATCATAATTACTCATATAAATATAACAAGACTCCTGTGGGTAGATCTCATCACATCGTACATGATAATTACAATCGATGTTTATTAATGTGATTTTCAAATAAATCATAAATAAAATTTTAATTAATCAAGGATGCTATGGCTATTCCGCAATTAAATAAAATTTAAAATAAATCACAAACATCATGAATATATAATATGAAGTTCACATAAATAAATCAGATTTATACCATCAGCATGCTTCAATTAAAAATTAGTGCAAATATATGCAAAATAATAATAATAATAATAATTCTGCATGCCTTTCCTTTTCTAAACTCATGTGGATAGATTAAGAAATACAGCTCGATATTTTATCATAATTACTCATATAAATATAACAAGACTCCTGTAGGTAGATCTCATCACATCGTACATGATAATTACAATCGATGTCTATTAATGTGATTTTCAAATAAATCATAAATAAAATTTTAATTAATCAAGGATGCTATGGCTATTCCGCAATTAAATAAAATTTAAAATAAATCACAAACATCATGAATATATAATATGAAGTTCACATAAATAAATCAGATTTATACCATCAGCATGCTTCAATTAAACATTAGTGCAAATATATGCAAAATAATAATAATAATAATAATTCTTCATGCTTTATTCCAATGAATTGGTCTAATAAAATAGATAAATAAAACAACCGATGCAGACTATCACATTCGTAACTAATGTCTGCTTATATATGTATATGTATATGTACGTTATTGCATTTAATGCTCATTCATGTACGAATAAAATAAACAAACAAATATTAATGTCTGCAGGATGGACTTTCAAGAATGAATTGATTCAGATTGATTCCAAATAACATATATATACGAAAACAGATGATTGCAGATAAATATCATCTCCTATATCAAAATTCGACACCGAAAAGCTTCCTCAAATAATTAATTGCGCATACAAGTCGACACAGATGTGAAGTGCACATAAAATATTACAGAAGAATCTGAATACTCCATCGAAATGCAAGGAAAATTCAAAAATTTAATATTTTGCATAAATTAATTTCAAAATAAAATTCAAAATTTTTCCAAAAACATAATGAAATTTTCTTATATCGCAGGATTGGATTTTGATCAAGAAAATATCGCAAAACAATTGTTGAAAATAAAAAACCAAAGTATTTTCAAATAAGAAATTAAAGCGAATCTTGATCAAGAATTTGACTAGAAGAAAATTCAAAGCAAGACAGAGGCAAAATTGCTCTGATACCAAATGTTAGAAAATAAATATATAATCAAATATGTTAGCGGAAGCAAAATTTAAACAAACCTCCAGCCATTGCTAAAAATTAGATTTGTCCTTGAGATCTTCTTCAAGAACAATAGATTGAAACTGTGGGAAGATGGTGTTGTCAGACTTTGGAACCATTGGGAGGATGTTGCCAAACTTTGGAAACCTCCGAAGATAGTGCCAGATCATGGAACCCTAGGACGATGTTGCCAAACCTTGGCTCTCAAATAGCGATGGTGTATTCTAATTTTCTGAGAGTAGGTTTAGTAATCCATATGTGAGAGTATTTATAATAAAAAAGAGAAACCGTCCATCACGATTTTTCTGCCACTTCTCACGTATATTTTGAATGTGATAGACTTAATGGGAGAAAAATGGGCCACAATTTAAGGTTAATTTAATTATATAAGATAATTCAACAATAATCAAAATTCAAATATGATTAATTAATTAATTAAACTAACATTTTTATCATGTAACCATATAAACTAATAAGGTACATTTCTTGGGTATGTTTATTTTGATTGGATTGGAAAAATTTGTTTTCATTTGATGTTGTCGATGTTATGTAAGAAAAAAATAGATAAATAAATTCTATTTCACATAATAATTATATTGTTGTAAATATTAATATTATAGGAATAACAAATATTGTTAATCATTATTTTGTATAAATATTACTCCCTCCGTCCACGGATAAAGTATACATTTACTTTTGGCGGGGAGTTTAAGAAATAATAGTATTTTAATTATAGTGGGTAGGTAAAAGTAGTGAAATGACATTTTTGCCCTTGCTTTTTGGTATAAAAGTAATGATGTGATGTAAAGTAAAGGTATTTGTGGAAAAAAGTGGGGTATTTAATAAAATGATTACTTTGTAATTGAACGTCCCAAAATAGAAATATGTATACTTTATAGCTGGACGAATCGAGTAATATAATATATTTAGTGTATATATCTATATAAATATCTTATAGTATGCAATATATGAGTATATATAATATGTAGGTATATATATACTGTGAGGTGTAATATATATATTACATATATATATAAGCATATGTGTTAGAGAGAGAGAGAGAGAGAGAGAGAGAGACCATGTGATATGAAATGAATTTGATTGCTTTCAATCAAATAAAAAAGAAAATATAAATAAACATAATATTAATAGAAGTTAATATAAATATTACAAAATACAATACAAAAAGATATAGATGATAAACCAAACTAGGACAACTAACTAAAAACAAGCTAAAATATGTTACTCCTACTCTTGAACT